ATTTAAAAGGTTATCTTTAAATTTCTCCTAACTTAAGCAAATGCCAGATGAATTTTCCTTATCCGTCCTCCAAACAACAGGTTGATCAGACACTGGGAGAGAAAAGCAACTTTCCCATCCATCAAGCTCCTGCTTCACTATTAATTTAAAATTGTATATCTTTTATCTTCCTAATGTATAATCAAAATCATTTCCCAAAATAACTTAAAACTTTTTAAAAAATCAAGATATTTCAAGTTAGTCTTTAAGAATAAATCAAATCAATTTTATGTTATATAATCAAATAGCATAGTTTTTTAAATTATACCACTTTATAAATATTTTTCAAAAACATTTAGATAAAGTCTTAAAAACTTTAAGAATAGAGCAGCATTTATTAAATCAGCAAGAAACCACATAAGCCTGGCTTTCAGAATTATAATTAGTATGTAGAAAAGAAGAAATTTTAAAAATATGTATTTAGAGCATGAATGCCCAAACAGGATACCTATAAAGTTGCTCCAATTATAAGAAACAGTGAAAATTCAGGGACTGGATAATCCAAAGCAGGTCAACAAAGAATCATAAACACACACACAAAAATCATACAAATCTGTGCTTAATGAGAAGTGGAAGCTGATCTATATCAGCTCATTTTAAAAGATGCTTCCTGGGACTTCCCTGGTCATCCAGTGGTTAAGACTCTATGCTCCCAATTTAAGGGAGCACAGGTTGGATTCTTGGCCAGGGAACTAAGGTCCTGCATGCAGCCTGGTGCCACAAAAATAAATAAAAGATGCTTCCTTATATATATGCCCCAAAGCAAATGGATCAGACTTCCATTTTTAAGAGTCTGGCAAAAAAAAAAAAAAAGAGTCTGGCAGGCATTAACTTGTCATTGTATGTCATTTTTCACTGTGATAGAGCTTAGATCTAACAGCATACAGAGTTATTTCCTTAACCATTCAAAATAGACAAAGGTTTGGTTCACTACTGTACAGCGCAGGGAGCTCAGCTTGGTGCTCTGTGGTGACCTAGATGGGTGGGATAGGTGTGTGTGGAAACAGTGGGGGGCAGGTTCCAAGAGGGAGAGGACATATGTATACATATAGTTGCTTTCCCTTTGTTGTACAGCAAAAATTAGCACAACATTGTAAGGCTATTATACCCCAATAAGAAACAAAAAACACCTGAATTTCTACACTAAAAAAAAAAAAAAAAATCAGAGTAAAAGCCAAAGTTCTTACAATGTTCTGTAAGGCCCTGCTTATGGAACTTAATACTTTCTAACACACTGTATGACTTGCTTATTTGTCATGTTGTCTATTGCCTACCTCCCCAACTAGAAAGTAAGTTCAGCAAAGAGAAAAATTTTGTTTTGTTTCTGCCTGGTACATAGTAAGTATTCAATAAAGAATTTTTGAATGAATGGGAAAAAAAAGGGAGGTTTGCTTCAAAGAGCCTTTGAAGATTACAAAGGATAAAAGCAAGAGAGATAAATACTTCACCATTTATACCATTTATACTTCACCACAAATACTTTCACAGAAGGTACATCAGTCTGTACCTTCTGAAACAGACCTGCTCAACTTTAATATTGTTAATTCATCTTTACATGTTTTTCAAAACATCTGACCACTCTAAGGCATCTGACACTCCTGACTACCTTTTCCTTAAAATTCTTCTTGGTTGCTTGTCACACTCTATCCTGGTTTTCTCCCTACTGGGTCGAATCCTTCTCAGGCTACACTTTCCTCCACTCCACAGTTAAATATATGTTCTCCAGAACTTTGTTCCATCTCAATCCCTGCTATCTTTCAATTTATATACCTCCCCCAGTGGCTACATCCATACTCACAGCTTTAGTTCCATGTATTCCAGATCTTTGTACATACACTTAACTATTGGACAATCATCAAATCTTACACAATCTCCTTAAAATGTCAGGAACCTTCTCTCTCCAGTCCCTCTACTGTTACCTTGGTTCAAGTTCTAATCATTTCTCCCTCTGACAGAGCAATGAATGATCTCTTCACGAATCTCACCAGTACCAAGCTAGACCAGGCTAGTAACTATAAGTACTCTAAAATTTAAATGTGACCATGTTGCTCCCCTGACAAAATTATTCAGTAGATCTTTATGGCTTTCAGCAAGAAGTTCAAATTGGCTTACACAGTAAATTCCTGCCAACATGCCTAAGCTCCATCTCACTACTCCCATCTTTGGCTCCAGCCAAACTTTGTAACCTGGGAACAGTCATCCTGGTAACCCCTCCCCGTGCTGTACACCTAATCAGGGTATTCCCCAGCAAATCCTGAATACCAATTTTGACCTAAGCTATTACTTCATCCAGGAACTCTCTCCTCTACTCATAGGTTAATTTAGATACCTGCTTTCAAAGCTCACATAAATTTTCCTCCTCAATTTCTTACATACCAATCACATTCAGATACAGATCTTCTCCATTAAACTGTTAACATTCTCCAGAAAAAGACCACTTCATATTCTCTGTACCTGACACCCAGAAGGCATCCAACAATAGCTGTTTGAAGGAATGTTACTCTTGCATTAGTCACTGTCGTGTTTGACTCTTTTGAGACCCCATTGGACTGTAGCTCACCAGGCTCCTGACTATTCATGAAATTCTCCAGCCAAGAATATTGGAATGGGTAGCCATTCCCTTCTCCAGGGGATCTCTCTGACCCTGGGTTTGAACCCTGGTCTCCTGCATTCCAGGCAGATTCTTTACCATCTGAGCCACCAGGGATGAATGAGGATTAAATGGGAATCTATTTTTTTGGTAAAGTTATTCCAGGGACAATGAATTTTACCAGAATGGTCAAATCCTTCACTGCCGTTGAAATGGCATAGGGGCCAAAGCTCTCATCACCTCATCTTTCACTACCCATGAACAAAAAATTCCTTTTGTAGCTAAATATAAATTTGTTTGAGGCCCAGGTTTGTTCTCTGTGAAAGGGGTAGAGCAAATGACATTCTAAACTAGGTTATTTACAATAGAATTTTATTTCCCCACTGAACTCCTTCTAATAATACCCTGTTCTACCATTATCACCCTTTCCAAAGAAAATGTTTTCTCCTTCCACCTTAATTTATTGTTTAGTCAGAACCTTAGAGCAACTGTATGTGTTTGATGAAGGACAGTGTGGGTAAAGGAGGGGATGGAGAAGAGTGAGTAGAATGTGTCCATTCCTCTTACCAAAATCTAGTTCCTATTTTATTTCCACATTCCAGCCCAAAGAAGATTTGAGAAAAACCCTCAACAAATCATCTCCAAACTCATTTCCACAGCCTTGAGGTCAAGCCAAACTACAGTCTGATTTAACAAAATGTCTCACAAGGGAAGTGAACCAGAGCAAACTGCATGGAATTTTGAGGGGAACTAGAGATTACCATGAGCTCCATGAGGTCAATGACCCAATGGGTACTAGAAATGATTCTGTCCAAAAAAGACCTACTTCCTTACTTTGCCCTCCTTCCCTCCCTTTCTTCTATCCACTGCTAGCCCAAGGGCAGAAAAGGAATCAAGTTAAAATAAACACTTGTAGATTAAAAGCCAAAAGGTATACACTGTGCCCTAAACATCTCAAGATATTTTAACCACCTGCATTTGTTGCACCAAATAATAAAGGAATAAAGACTGTCATTCATCTCCTATAAGCGGCAAAACTATAACTGGTGTAACTTCTATCAAGAAAAGTCACATATTCTTGGGCTCATACAACACTACGGAAGAGGAGTAAGGTAGACAACAGACTGGGAATGGAGTGAGAAAAGTGGGTGTCAAGAAACAGCTGTAAGGAAATTTGAGACTAACCCTAAATTCAACAACCCATTCAATACAAAATTACAGAACCCAGCGGAAAGAGAAATCGGTTTAGAAAATGGTTCAATTCCTTTCAGCTATTTGCAAGCACACAGAACTTTCAAGACTGGGTGTATTTTTTTCAAAACGAGATTTCCAAGCCTCACCTGCCAGAAATTCTTTCTAAGTTTGGAATGGAGCCTGGGAATTGGTATGTTTACTTAAAAAGTTCCTCCAGAGACCCCGATCAGCAGTCAGGTTTGTCAGAAGTGCTATCTACCTTTACAAGAAGGTCTCCTTCTAAATCTTACTGACATCCTAGTAGCCTCTATTAATTATAGAAGTGCTCCCTTTAAATATGCCAAATCGAACAGCACCAGGCCACCTCAACCAACCAAGCCCTTACTGTGCTCCACCACCCTCCCTACGGTTACAGCCTTCATTTCAGTTCATTCCTCACAAGGGCGGTCTTTCTCATTTCCATCGTTGTAACAATCAAGTAATAAGCAGAATGGTAAAACAAAGGGAAACTATCACTTCAATACCCGGAAATCCTGTCAGTTCTAACATGTGAGGGAAGCCAATCCATTATAGAGCATTCCAACCTGCACTAAATTTTGAACCGATTAAAACACTCTCAAGGGTGGTCTGTGAAGCGGGACTGAAAGGTTAAGTCAGATAAGAGCTCTAGATCTGGAAACGCATGGGCGGCCAATGTTCTGAAAGGAAGGGAGACCTGAGAGCCGGGAGTGGGGGGTAGGGTCGCGGAGCGCGGCGAGCGGGCACCTCAAGGCCGATTTTGACACTCGACACCCCAGCCTTCACTCGGGTTGCTAGGAAACAAAAAGGCTCCACGTTCTATGCAGTTCCTCCCGGGCCTTCAGCAGAGGGCCGGGGCCTCGAGGAGCGAGGACGCCACGGGGGCTGGCCTGGGCACAGCCCCGGGGGCGCGACGACGAGGGAGCCCCGGAGCAAGGGGGCTCGGGCTGAGGGGGCCGGGCGCAGCGAGCGGCCCGCGAGTTCGGAGGCAGGGCGGCCCGGCCTCCAACTGACCGGGAATGGGCCCTTAGCGCTGAGCTGAGGAGAGGGGAGGCCGCGGCGGGCTCGGCTCCCACCAGGCCACGTCCCAGGGTCCGGGGCGGGGTGCTGGGCCTAAACCACAACCCGGCTCCGCGCGGGGGAGGGGGCGTCTACTCACACGTGCTGACAGGCCGCAGTCCGCACGGGCGTTTTGAGCACCTCCTGACAGACGGGGCAGTAGAAATCATCTTCGGTGTAGGACGTGGCCGCAGAGAGCTCCTCGGCCATGGTGGGGGACGAAGGATGAAGGAGATGGCGGCGGCAGCGGCCGAGGTGGCGGTGGCGGCCAGGGGCCTGACTCCCTGAGCGAACCCGAAGGGGGCGGGGAATCGCGTCAGGAAGCCGCTCGCGCCAGGAAGCAGGCGGGGCCCGGGGGCGGGGCCCAGGAGGGGCGGGGCCGAACGCGGAGACGCTACGGCCGCACGCGCCGGGCGAGGGTCGTGCCCTGGGGCGCTGCTCCCACAGGGACAGGACGGGAAGGCGGCGCCTAGCGGGAGGAGGCGGCCGAGAGCCCGGCGATTGGCTTCACTGCCGCTTCCGCTCGAGCCGGGAGCCTCCCCTCTCACCTGGGAAGGGCGTTACTAGCCCTTCCCCCGCCCAGGGCCTCTCCCGTACCTGGCTCTGCAGGGCTCCGCGACCCCGCCCTCAGCCCTCTGCTGCGCTTCTAGCCTCCCTTTCCCCCGGCTCCTTTCTCCCACCCGCGCGGCCGTCGGTCTCCGGGCGGCAATCTACCCAGTACCGCGGCTCCCCTCCCAACACCGCCCCGACCCCGCCCCGTCCCCGCCTCACGCCCCGCCCCCCGCTCTCAGCTTGGGTACACTCTCACTTAGGAGCCCCAGAGCCCCGAGGCTGGTGAACCCGCTTCCGCGGCGAGTGTTCGTAGGGAAGCCCGGCGCCTTAATCGGGCCTCTTGTCCAGCCGTTGCCGCCTTCGCAGCCGAGGCCGGGAGGAGAGAGGCAGGTGGAATGCGTGGTGCACATCGGCCCGAAACGGGGCCGGGCCCGAGGCTCATGGTGCACCGGGATCCGGCCGCCCTCTCGAGCTGCTGTCCTGGGTCATGGCTCTGCCCGAGCGGGCCGCGAGCCTGGGGTGGAGGAGAGGCGGGAACGCGGCCTCCATAGCAACCGGGGCTTGTAGCCCGCAGCAGCTTGTGACATCACCAGGTGCTGGTGCTCACTGGGTGCTCACCTGTACCCCCCAGCCTCCCTCCAGCAAGGATCCCATCTCTCAGAACTCTTATCAAATACACTGGTGTTTTCAAGAATTTTTCCATGAAAAAAAAATAAAAAGCCTTGCCTAATAGTGTTAGATTTGGTCCTTGTCAGAATGTTTTGATCTTGCTAAAATGTGTTCTATAATAATCCGTTATGGGATTTTAATCCTTTGGAGAAGAAAAAGATAAGCCTCCTTGAGAGGCTTTAGACCTCATATTTAGACCTTAGCACAGTGAGTTACAGTCACAAATACAGTTTTCCGCCAACACCATTGTTTTGTTGTTTGATAGCTTCGAAGAAAAATGAGGTAGAAGCATGGATCTAGGCATTTTACCGTAATCGACTAAATGTTTTTTTAATGAGCCCTTAATTCCTAGATATATCCACACAAATAATAAGTGTATAAGATGAAGTCACAATTACATGAACAGAGCTAAAGAAATCTAGAAAATCATAAAGCATTCTCAATTCACTTGAGGAAAGAATAAGTTTCATTACCGTGTTTTGTTAAAGCTTTCCACTAGGGACTAAATGAATCATAACTAGGAGCCATTGAAAGGCTTAGTTAATTCAATTCTGTCATTTATTGTCTACCTTGTTCTTGGCACTGTGTTAAATGTCATGCAGGTGTCATGAACTTTTTAAAAATATTTGTCCTGGGCCTCAGTTGTGGCGCTTGAGGTCTTGGATCTACATCTGGGCATGTTGTTGTTCAGTCACCCAGTTGTGTCCAACTCTTGGCAGCCCCATGGACTGCACGCAGCAAGTCAGGCATCCTTGGTGAGGTAAGATGCCTCACCATCTCCTGGAATTTGCCCAAGTTCATGTCGATTGCATTGATGACACCATCTAGCCATCTCATCCTCTGACACCTTCAGTCTTTCCCAGCATCAGGGTCTTTTCCAATGAATCAGGTGTTTGCATCAGATGACCAAGGTATTGGAGCTTCAGTTTCAGCATGAGTCCTTCCAGTGAATATTCAGGGTTGACTGGTTTGATCTCCTTGCTGTCCAAGGAGCTCTCAAGAGTCTTCTCCAGCACCACAGTTTGAAACCATCAATTCTCAGTGCTCTGCCTTCTTTACGGTCCAGCTCTCACAACCGTAAATGACTTCTGGAAGACCATAGCCATGACTATATGGACCTTTGTCGGCATGGTTATCAAGAGGTTCTTTAGTTCTTCTTCACTTTCTGCCATTAGAGTGGTATCATCTGGGCATGGGGGATCTTTAGTTGCAGCATGTGGGATCTAGTTCCCTGGGGCTTCCCAGATGGTGCTAGTGGTAAAGAACCCACCTCCCAGTGCAGGAGACATAAGAGACATGCGTTGGATCCCTGGGTCGGGAAGATCCCCTAGAGGAAAGCATGGCAACACACTGATCAGGGATCAAACTTCGCCTCCTCGCAATGAGTCCAGGTGGTTCAGTCTTAGCCACTGGACCACTAGGGAAGTTTAGGTATCATGAACTTTGCTCTCAATTCATTTATACTCTTGGTTGTCTATCAAAATGATAGAACAAAAAAATGATATTTGCCAAAATATCAATATTAAATTTTTCATTAACAGTGACTATGATGCAGAAGATGAATGATTGGATTTGTACGGACTTGAAATGGGTCTTAATGTACATCTTTAAACAATTCTTAGAATAATACTGATTATTTGTCCAGTAAACATCGAATTCCCTCCACCACCAATCTACAGTGTTTGGCATTATTTTCTTCCTTTCATCCTTAGCAAAAACAGTAGAGGTGGGAGCATACAGGCTAATTTTAGCTTCAGATTTTTTCAGAGGAGGAAAAGCACCTGATGGGAGGGATACCTAATAGCAATAGTTGCCAAGTGCTTTTTAAATTCTCTCATAAAATGGTTCTTGGGTTCCAAGTTTCACATTTTTGACACCATATTCACAATCATATTTTACTTATTTTGATCACTTTAGGATCAAAATCACTTTAGGAAGTAAAATGCATTTTCTACTTAGAATGTTTCCCTTTACTCATTGAGAATTGTTAATTAGAACATTAATTTTGTGACTTTTAATTTTATTTCATTCTTTCTCAGTAATGGCAACCTTCCTCAATGCACTAATCCAAACACGTTTGTTTTAGTTTTCATACAGTCTATGACTCAGGTAAATCATTTGACTTACATGTATGTGTATAGTTGGCCATATGTGGAAATCCATCAAAAGTTTGGCTATAAGGAAAATATAGTCACCTTCTGAGAGTTAAGCTTAGAAAAACAAACCATAAATGCCAAAAGACATAACCTTCTGTCTTGGCAGCTTTTTATATGAAACGCTACTTGATATTTTTATGGCAGTGTCACAGATTTACTCAAGATCCATTCAGCTGTGTAAATAAAATGTCCTCAGGTTTGGGGAACAGTAGGGGAAAAACTCTAAATGTTAGACCAATTTATAAACTTAGTTGAAATAATTTAAATATTTCCTCTAAATTTAGGTTAAAAAACTCAGTCTCTTAATAGTCCATCTCTCTCAGTCGACTATCCTCAAAATGACACATGGGAAGATAAAAAGAAAGACAAAGGGTAGCTGACATGAACTTGAGACACTATTCTGGGCTCTTGGTCCTACGATCTACAAAGTCTCCTTAAATTCTTGATGGACTTTTCTACAGAGAGGATAATTTTGACTGTTCTCTGATATGCAAGTCTTGGGCATTCTGTTGCTGGCAACCTGCTGGTGAGGGCTACTCTGGCCTGTCCTAGCTGGGTCACAGCCTTGCCCTGTGCCCTGGTTGATTCCATTTCACCAGTACTGTAGAAACTTCTAGATCTCTGCCACTGTCATCTTCTGGTTTCTTGATCGTCAATGCAGCAGGTCGCTCATCTTCTCAAGACAACTGTACTCCAACGCATCTATGGGGTCCCTTCCCTCTGTCTCTGGGAGGAAGACTCATTGTATGTCATTGGATTTGCCTGAAGTGCTGACCCATAGGTTGGTTCAGCACAGCCTATGAGGCAATGTGCTTTCAGCTCCCCAGCCCTCAGCTCTCCTCTCAACCTATCTAACACATCTTTCTTCTCTTTTTCAACTATAATTCTGTCAGTGAAAATTAATCCATCTAAGAAAGAAATGGAAATTTTTATTCAAGCTAAATTTGAGAATTATAACCTGGGAACAGCTTCTCAGAAAGTTCTGAGATATAGAATTGAATATTACTCAGCCATAAGCAAGGAACGAAAATTGGGTCATTTGCAGAGATGTGGATGGACCTGGAGTCTGTCACACAGAGTGAAGTAAGTCAGAAAAACAAATTTCATATATTAATTCATGTACATGGAATCTAGAAAACTGGTAATGATGAACATCGTTTCAGGGCAGGAATCAAGCTGCAGATGCAGAGAACCAATGTGTGGACATGGTAAGGGAGGTAGAAGGAGGGTGAGATGAATTGGGAGATTAGATGTGACTTAAATGCACTACCATGGGCTTCCCAGGTGGCTCAGTGGTAAAGAATCCACCTGCCAATGCAGTAGATACGGGTTGGATCCTAGGTCCAGAAGATCCCCTGGAAGAGGAAATGGAAATCCACTCCAGTATTCTTGCCAGGAAAATTCCATGGACAGAGGAGCCTGGTGGGCTACAGTCTATAGCATCGCAAAGAGTCAGACATGTGAGCAACTGAGCACCCACACAAATACACTGTGCTGTGCTGTGGTGAGTCACTCAGTCATGTCTGATTCTTTGCGACCCCATGGACTGCAGCCCACCAGGTTCCTCTGTCCATGGGGATTCTCCAGGTAAGAATAATAGAGTGGGTTGCCATGCCCTACTTCAGGGGAATCTTCTCAACCCAGGGATAAAACCCAGGCCTCCTGCAATGCAGGTGGATACTTTACTGTCTGAGCCACCAGGGAAACCCAGAGAGTACACTCCCTGGTGTAGAACAGATAGCTAGGGGAACTTGCCATATCACATGGGGAGCTCAGCTCGGTGCTCGGTGATCACTTAGAGGGTGGGATGGAGGGCCCGGAGGGAGGTGGGAG